TATCTGTTTTGAGAGAGAGAGAGAGAGAGAGAACACGTGAGAGGGAGAGAAAGAGAATCCCAAGCAGGCTCTGCACTGTCAGAACAGAGCCCGATGTGGGGCTTGAACCCACAAACCGTGAGATCATGACCTGAGCCAAAGTCAAGAGGCAGACGCTTAACTGACTGAGCACCCCAGTGCCCCAATTTTTATTTTTTTATTTTTTAAATAATGAGACACTATGAACTGTAATCCACACCTTGAGGGTACAGGAGGGTGGGAGTGAGGATGCATCCTATCCAGGGGAAGACAGACCTTCCTGAGATTGGAGTGGTTTTGACTCCAGTCACTTTGGCATCCATGGTTTTCATCTTTTCCTGTAGCTCTGCAACCTTCCTCAGGTCTCCCACGTGCCCCTGCAATGAAATGAAGACAGGGTACTGCCTGGCTGAATTTGGCTTCCAGACTTGGCTCCAGTTGTGCCTACCTGTGAGTGTTCCCTTCCTGTCTCTAGACTCTGGAAGCCCTTCCTTCCTCCCCATCTTCCAAACATATAGTCCTGAGCATGGAGCAGCATCAGGGCGACCCATGGGGTCAGGCAGGCGGTCTGGGGCTTCTACCTGTGGAGGTGACTCAAGGAGGTAAGGTGGGCCTCAGTCCGGGACTGGATAGAGGTGACAGTTTTGGAAGTTGCTTTGGTCCCCTTCCCTTCACCCTTCCTAAAAATCCCCTCAGGCTAAAAAGTTCACATTCTGTGCATTAGGGTAAAGACTTGCATCCTGTTGGGCTTAGAAATGTATTTAGAGGAAAGTTGGGCAAAAGCCTTCCTCATTTGTGGAAGACCTTGCTTGTTGGTTCTGGCCTCTCCCTGCCAAGCATTCTAGGCAGCTTGGCAGTCTAGCCTCGGAGATGATGGTGAGCAGCTGAAACCTGCCTGCCATGTCCCAGATAAATTGGGACCCAGCTCTGGGAGAGCCTGTGGTCCAGGCAAAGAGGACCTTGAAACTGGGAAGAGACTCTCCGCCCACTGTTCCAGGTGTGCAGCAGCGAGCAGGCCGCTCAACTCCTCTGAACCTCCAGCTTCCTCACCTGTGCCGTGGGTGGGTGTGAGGGCCACATGAGATCACAGGTATTAGGTTGCCCAAAGTAAGTGCTCAGCAGGGGCGCCTCCTTCAGGGGGCTGGTGTCCACCTCTGCCTCCTCAGTAGCCAGCAGCTCTCCCCTACACCCCCCTGCCACTCCATGCGCCACCCTCAAACCCACTCATGGCTTCCTGTGTGGGACCTTGAGTCCAATGATGCCTCTGGCTGACCAGGGGACCTTTCCACCTACATAAGCAAGAGTTGTCTCTCCTTCATAACTGAGTCACGTGAAAGAAAAGAGTTGTTTTTGGATTTTAAAAGAAACTGTTGGGAGTCACTTTAAAGTAATTCTTCCGCAGTAGGAAGATCATCAAGTGAATTCTCTTTAACACCATCAAGACCAGTTGAGCTTTTGTAGGTTTTTCATACAGTGTACCCTTTATGTTTCTGACACAGAAGTTGTCACTCTGACTCACTTATGCGGAAATGTGTCCCATGCGTCTCGTGGTTTGGGAGGCCCCCACGGCCCCACTTGCTCCCGGCTGATTGACTACATTGGACCTCTGGACCCCTCTTGGTCTGCCTGTGGTGTCTCACTATCGCACTGTTCCCGTGTGGTCAGTCAACTCCTGCCGGGCCACTGTGGCCCTTGAAACTAGACTGTGCCTGTTTTCGACTCTGTGGACCATCTACAGGCTAACAGTATTGGCTAACAATGTTTGTTGGAAAGGCTGCCCAGCAGTGGGCCAGTAGCCAAGGCATTCAGTGGTCATTTCACAGCCTTTGTCATCCTTGGGCTCCTGGTATCACTAAGAGGTGGAATGGATTTTTAAAAAACAACTCAACAAAGACCTGTCACTGTCTCCTCCTGGTGTATACACTTTAGTAAGGCCATTTGTTCACTGACTGTAGCTGTCCCTAGAATGGGACCATTATTTCTAGGCCATCTCCTGGGTAAAGACCAAGTCAAAGGGGCTGGGAGCTACATAAACTGTTTTGAAAATTTGGGATTCTTTCCTCCTCACTGCTGCATATGGTGCGTCTTTCCCCCCTAATGTCAAGCCCTCCTGATTGGTGCATCCTCGGGGGGGGGGGGGGGGGCAGGCTGACCACAAGGGCCCTCAGAGATTGGAGTTAATTTTGAAGAGTCTGGATTCTCCCTGGGATGACTAGTCCTGCATCATGAAGACTGGGACTACTTGGTCGTTGAGTGCCCTGCATGCCAAATCTCCTGCAGTGGTCCATGTCGTTGCTGTAACTTTGTAAACATGCTACTAGTTCATTCTCATGTGACCTTTACAAACAAAAGGTCTAAGGTGTGAGTAGGTGATAGAAGAGGTGACGCTATCCCTACTGGGACATGGGGTGCCTGGGGGGCTCAGTCAGTTAAGCTTCCGTCTTCAGCTCAGGTCACGATCTCAGCTCATGACTTCAGTCCCTGTGTCAGGCTCTGTGATGACAGCTCAGAGCCGGGAGCCTGCTTCTGATTCTGTGTCTCCTCCCTCTGCTCCTCCCCAGCTCGTGCTCTGTCTCTGTCTCTGTCTCTCTTTCACAAAAATAAATATTAAGAAGCAAATTTATACCTACTGGACAGGAAACCCTCAGGGACAGAACACCTTAGACCCTGATGGTAGGAGCTGCAACCAGTGCTCCGTCCTGGAGGTCCAACACCACAGCCTGCCAGTCACCTGGCCTGCTGAACCCTGCACCTGGCAGTGTGGCCTGTCCTGGGCGATTCTGCTGTGCCCGGTGCCATCAGCAGCAGCTCCTGAATGTGATCCCCACGCTGCACGTTTACAAACACACGGACCTAAACAGACTCGTTCCACTCTGGCTGATAACAAAATCACACACTTCAGATGCCCAGGGAGCCGTGGCTTATGCTGTACATAGTGATTGAGGCTACAGTACTCCGTGGCACTGCCCATGTGCTGGTGTTCAAGTCAGGTTTAGCCAATCCTGAGCCAGAATCAGTGCCCTGTGCTCCAGTAATCCGTGTGTTGACATGTGGGAAAGAACGAGCCATAATGTCTCCCCATTGGGCACAAGGGTTGCTTTTGGGCCTTGTAATTGGTAATGACGCCAAAGAACCGAGGTCAGTCTGAAGTCCCTCGGGTGGATCCTAATGGATAAGATTAGTGTTGGACTCCATCCTGACGTAGGCCCTGCTGATTCACAGCTGGAGGCTCGACGACAGGCCGGCCTCCTATCAACAGGACTCACCGCTGCTTGGAGTCTTGTTGAGATTGCTTTAAATGCTGCGTGAGACAAACAGTGATTCGATCTCGGGTTCTGTTAGATGATTAATCAGGGTGGCATACTCGTGTGAAAATTCACCAGGAGCCAGGAGGGGTGGCTTGTCAGGAGAGGTGTGTCTCATGCAGCTACAAGGCTTCCTGGGTGTGCCAAGAATATGTGACCCTGCCAGCTGGTTACCTGGGCCACTTCTCAGGGTTGGGTTTGCAGGGAGTGCCTTTCGGGATGAGGTAATGGCTCCCTCTAGGACAAAGAGCAGGCTTGCTTGCTGCTTCCTGTGAAGCAGAAGGTTCCCCAAGCTCTGCTGTTGTAATGCAACTCATTGCCCCCATCGGGCAAAGGAACCCGACACAAGCTGATGCTTTAAGCTGCTTGCGGTAATAGAGCCTTTTGTCACTGACCCAGGAATCTCAAGGCTTCTGCCAGCATTTTGGAAACAGTTACAGGCTGACTTACTGGCTTGCAAATAGAGTGAAATCAAATCCCAGACACAACAGTCAGCTGAGTGGTGGCCAAGCCTGGCTTTCCCTGGCCGGGCTGTCAGCCCCTTGGCACATCCCAAAGGGTGGCCCATCAAGATGTTCTGATCATTAGTTTTCCAGAATGTACAGGGCCAGTGCAGCACTTCTGTGGGAAAGTAAACAGTCTCTACATACTGTGTGCTTAAAGTCCTCCATCTCCTGGGATGTGGTTAAGTTCAAAGAAAATATTCCAGAACAGGGATTATGATGTTTATAGCACCAGGACACTCTGTTCATGTCAACTTCAGGAAAGAGATGAAAGCAGACCTTGCACAGCAGTTACTTTTCCAATGAGCAAGGTCAGTCCTCGGATGAGGAGCACAGGACCCCCACGGAGGACTGTATCCCAGCAGCCCACTCCCCCTTGGCTTCCCTGGCCACTAAAGTTGGCATCCAGCAACCTCTTCATAAATTGCAGTGATTAAATAAAAGCTTTAGGGCCTCCGTGACTCTCCAAAGAATGTCAGCTGGAGAAATGTTAGAGGAAGGGTAAGCTGATTTAGTAGTGAATGACCATATTGCAGGACAGTTGGGGATACAAGTCCCTTTTTCCTACAAAGAAGGGGTTGCTTGCACCCTCAGAACCAAGTCATTTTAGGCAGAAATAATGTGGAAACACAGGAGGGCAGAGCTGTTAAGAGATCAGGGGCAGGCAGGGCCTGGGGAGACATAAGCTACTGTCCCCGCACCTGTTAGCATGGTACACAAATACTGAATGGAGGGATTATTTTCTCAGAAGCAGGACAATCTTTAGCCCTCACCTGTTTCTCATCAGGCATTTGTGTTCACCTTCCAGGCTTTAATCTGGTGTCCATTTGTCAATCTTCTGGGTTAAAGCAAGGGAGTAAGTGTATATTCACTGCCACCAATAGGGAGTAGTGACAGGATCCCGCGTCTGTTTTCCCTCTCTTTCTTCCAGGAAAGTCCCCAGGTTTTACCTCGGTACATGGCTACCCAGCTAGGAGCTGGGAGGTCATCATAGTCTCCCCTGCAGCTAGACGTGACCATGTGTCTGACATGGCAAGAGGGACATGTGCTATTTCCGAGTGAGGTCCTTAAAGGAGTTGGTGTGCCCTCCATTTGCCCTTTCCCTTCCCAACAACCCAGTGATGGGAGCCAGCTTCCCTGTATGTCCAAGGGCATCCCTGGAAGGATACAGGACAGAGGAAGGAGCCCGGGTCCCTGAGTGATTCTGTGGGAGAGAAAAGTGAAGCTATCTCGTTAACGCTTTCTGCTCTTTTCCACACCCTAACTACAATACAGTTAGTACGATACAGTCAGGAGTGAACAGAGGGGAACTTGGAGGATCAGGCCGTGCCCTTCCCCAGAGCCACTCACCCTCCCCACAATCTTAGCAAAGTAGTAAAAAGCCAGCCACTTCATCTTGTGTCTGGAAGGCCTCCCACTACTGCTCTGCAACCTACTAGCTCAGTGTCGTTGGGTGTAAAACCATCTTTTTGAGGTTCAACTGCCTCATATAGAACATGGGATCCTACTGCCAGTTTAATGAGTAATCTTAGGAGATTGTGTTTGTGAATAATACAAACTACCGTCTATTGAGCATCTACTTACCTTGTGCCAGGCAAAACCATCACTTTCCGAGGGAAGTCTTCCACCGTACAGAGGGCAGAACAGGCAGAGTGGTTGACGTAATTGTCCACAGAGCAAGAAGAGAGACAGTGAGGACTCACCTGTGAGCAGACTGACCTCCACAACCCACGCTCATAGCCACTCTGCCTGCCATCACATTAGTAGAGTGCCTGGCATCAGGTAACCTCGCTAATTCACCAAATGACAGCACGCACCCTTTCTGGGTGCTGAGCAAAGCAGACAAGGTCTCCAACCCACGTGGAATTTACGTTTTGCCTGGAGAAACATTTTTTCTCATATCCTGCATCTAGTTGTGGGCAAAGCCACAATCATGATTCACCACCTCTTCTCACTCAGAGTAAAGATCAAAGATCTTTGATGTACGAGTTCCCCTACTGTCCATCCCTCCCGACCTACATTTCCCCCTCCATTCTCACTGCCATTCTGAACTCCTTGCAGCTCTTCATCACACAGGTACATTCCTGCCTCAGGACCTTTGCACTTACCATTCCTGCTGCCTACAACACTTAATGTGCTTGCATTTGCTTACCTCCTCATCCAGATCTTTACTCGAAGCTTTCCCTGTTAATTCTTATCTGAAATCCAGCCTCTTCCCAACAGACCATATAGTTATTACCTAGCCCCCTTTTTGGCAGCATTTTTCTTCTTAGCACATACTACTTTTTAAAAAGTAGCTTTATTGAGGTGTGAGTTACATAAAACTCACCCATTTCAAATGTGCACCTCAGTGGTTTTTAATAATTTTACCAAGTGGTGCAATTATCACCATCAGTCAGTTTTAGAACGTGTTTTCATCCCCACCCCAATAAGATCTCTCATGCTCAGTTACAAAGTCAGTCTCCGTTCTCCACGCAGCTAGCTCCCAGCAATGGCTAACCTGCCGTCTCAATAGCCCTTCTCAGAACACTTCCCATGAGTGACATCCTACAATACGTAGTCTCTTGTGTCTGGCACCTCTCACCTCGCATGTTTTTGAGGTTCACGTGTGATGCGGTATATGTCAGTTCGTTCCTTTTTATGGCTGAGTAACATCCCAGTATAGATACATTTTATGTCCATTTACCAGCTGATGGGACATCTTAGTTTCCATTTGTTTCTAACATTCTGTACATTTTACGGGGCACCTGGGTGGCTCAGTCGGTTGGGCGTCCGACTTTGGC